TCCCCCTTTGTTCTACTAAAGGCATTCTTGGAGCTTTTCAATTTGGACTGGTTTTTAACAAAATTATATCTTGACTTGGATTGTAAACACTGAGCACTGTCATGTTTCATTTTTGAGATCTAAAACAGAGTTCAGTTTTTCTTGGTTGCCCAAGAGCAAAGCAAAGAATCCTTTCGGTCAGGACTATAATTTTAAATGTTCTCTGCCAATTTATGTCATCTGTTGCTGCTCTCCCTTCTTTTCTCTTCTTTCTTTTTTTGGGGGTTGGATGAGGGGAGACAGGGTCTTACTATGTAGCATAAATTGTCCTCAAACTAACAAGCCTTCTGGCTTAGCTCCTGAGTGCTGGCATTTGGGGCTATGTCAGGGTTTGGTAGAAGTCATTTTTTTTTATTTAAAAAAAAAAATCAATCCAAGCATCTCAGTATCAAGATGTAAACTTTAAATTTTCTCTATTGTGGAAAGTGGGAGTTTATTTATAGATAGGCAGATGCTTTATACCCATTTATTAGTAGGTACTTGCTAACAAGTATGGATCCAAATGAAAAGGGATTAAAGTTATTTAAATAAGTCATATCTGATAAGTTCACCTTAGACTTAGGTATTGTAAGTTGAAAATGTATTTAATACACCTAATCTTTCAGGTCTTCATTCTCAGCCTAACGTACTTCAATCATTCTCACAACACCCACATCAATGAACCTGCAACTGGGAAACTCTCACACAAGCTTATTTTACAATACACCCTTGACTATCTACCTAATGCACATAAAGATAGGTGTTCTGCAGATCTGATGGGTCACAAAAACAAGTGTCCTTCAAATGCTGGCAACGTGGTGCACTGTAGAGTTATGGGTGGCTTACCCTTGTGATTACGTGGGTAGCTGGGCGCTGTAGCTCCCTGCTGCCACTCAGTTTTGCAAAAGAATATCATTCGACACATCACAGGCATGGGAGGGGATCAAAGCTCAGACCTGGGAGCAGTTTCTACTAGCTACAAATCACTTTCACACAATTGCATGTGAGTCAGATCATGACAAGTCAACCTTGTCAATCAAAATGGGCCATCAAGTACCATCTATACTCTCAATTCATTAAGTAATACGTGGTAACATTCTTTATAGTCCAAGAGTATGGTGGTGGACAAGATAAATTAATCAAGCACACAGACTAAAGATGTGTAAGAATACTTAGAGACCCTCTGATGTTAAAGCAACTAATGACAACTTCACTTATTGTTACTCTCAGTTGAAGCTGTGTGTGTGTGTGTGTGTGTGTGTGTGAGTGTGTGTGTGTAACTGGCGTGTGAGCTTATTTTTGAGAAGAGAGCTGATATCTTGTTATTTGTCTGGTTTATCCACTTCATCAGAAGGTTGGGGCACCACTTGGGCAATGAGATACAATATTGCTGCCATTCAGTATATTAGTCAGTGTTTTCATCACTGTGACAAAATGCCTGGGAGAAACAGTTCAAAAGAGGATGGGTATACTTTGGCTCGTGGCTTCAGAGGTCTGAAATTCTTAGTCTTTGGCTGAATTGATGCAGGGTCATAATATCATAGTAGTGGGGACATGCACAGGAGGCGATTAACATCATAGTGAATGGGAAGCAGAAAGACAGAGACACACACACACACATACACAGAATACACACACATACACAGAATACACACACACACACACAGAGAGAGAGAGAGAGAGAGAGAGAGAGAGAGAGAGAGAGAGAGAGAGAGAGAGAGAGAGAGCTAGGAGAGGCAAGGGACAAGACATAGTCTTCAAAGGCATCCCCTCAGTGATTTATTTCCTCCTGGCAGGCTCTACCACCTAAAATGTCCACTATTCCCCAAATAGCATCACTAGCTGGCGACCAATGAGGTCAGCCTGGGAGCACAGGGGTGGGCTCACCTGAGCAGGTGACCTGGAGTGGGCACTTGCTGGCAGGCATTTGCTGCACTTTCTGGACATTTCCCTCAACACCTAGCATCTATAACCCCTGAAGGGCAACGAGACTGCACGGGGCATTTCATATTCAAATCATAACATTCCACCCATGGCTACCAAAGGCCCATGGCCATCTCATAATGTAAATTGCATTTAATCCAACATCAAGGATCCCCATAGTCTTAACAGTTCCAATAGTTTTAAAGATCTGAGACTCAAGTAAACTTTTAGCTATGAGTCTATGTAAACTCAAAAACAATTTGCATACTTCTAAGATACAATGGCACAAAGTTAACATTCCCATCCCAAAAAGAAGAATGGGAACAGAGAAGAGAATGAGATTGAAACAAACTGAAAGCTGGAGAAATATTGGATCCAGTAGCCCATCATCGTCCGGATGTCCATCATCATCCTGGGAATGTGGCGGTGTGAAGGGATATACATGGGACTCGGGCAGCCTGGTTCCTTGAGTTTTTTCGTTTCAGTCCTGTCTTGGACTGATTGCATCCACTGCCTGTGCATTTCCTCAGCAGACTCTCCACATTCCTGGAGTGTCCGTTTTACCTTTGTTTCTGTCCTCACAGCTTCCCATTGCAGCCTTAGAGGCTCCCAGCATGGATTCTGACTTGACCACAGTTGCCTAGCCTCCTTGGCCTTTTGTTGAAGTCTGGAGGGAGTTTCCAGGACTCTTTAACTTTTGAATTCTGCATGTCTTCAAAACTGTGGACATCAAAATCTTCAACCAGCTCCAGTGGTTACCTATTCGGCACAGACTCTTAGTGCCTAGGTGGCTGAACACGGTGAAATAAACACTAGGCAAACAAGTTCGTAGGCATCTGTGTGTAAGGCACACTGGAGACACTCCATTTCAATGTAATGTTTCTCAAGGGAGATCTTTCAAATGGCATTTTCATATCCTTGAGACTTGAATAATTTCCAAGGAATTTTTCCTATTCCATTTTGTTGTTTAAGTTTTTATTTAGGTGAATGAGTGTTTTGTCTACACACGTCAGTACAGCACTTGTATGCAGTTCCTATGGAGGCCAGTAGAGGGCAGTGGATCACCTAAAACTGGAGTTTCAAATGGTTGTGAATTGTCATGTGGCTACTGGGAATTGAACCTAGGTCTTCTGGAAGATCAGCCAGTGGCGCCCAATGTGGGGCAAGAGTTTGTACCTAAAACCTGAGAAAAAAGATTCTAAAATGGAACTAAAAACAGCTTCTTAATTGTCTCTCTCAAATGAGCAGCAGCTGCCGGTTTGAGTTACTGGCGGGTTCCTGGCGTGTGCGCTTGACCTGCAGTATGATGGGAATGAGGCCTCTGCAGATAGAATATTAAGCTACATGGCGGATTTAGCCTTTGCTAGTACAAAACAAAAAAAGAGGTTTCTGGGCTACACGCTGCTTGGATAAAAGTGTAGACCCACTATTTCTGAGACTTGATGGCTCCCAGAGCTGGTGGAAAACGTACCACCGCCAAGTTGGGAAATTGAAGGGGGCGGA